GACACAATTATGTCCACGTATTCGTTCAGATCCAATGTCTTCTCGGCCTCCCATTGACCACACTTTTGGACATAATATTATGATTTTAGTAAAAAGTCAAACGATGGCAAACATTGAGAGAAATACTCACAATTTTTTGCTGCGGATATTTGATCTCCACATTAAGACCACACTTGGGATCCACTAAATCGAGTACTTTCTCAAGACTGGCGAACGGGAGGTTCTCTTCCGTCTGGTCCTCTTCGCCGAAGTCATAGAATGTTTTGTTCGCTTTTCAATCAAAAAACTATTTATATTTTTGTTCACATATTTTTGTCCAAATGTTAAATAATCACACGATTAATATCTCAATAGTTATAAAAATAGAAATATTTTGAAACAAACCTTTGATAACAGGACTCAACTGTAGATTTCAAAGAAATTAAAGCAATCATTTAGTAATTATAAATGATATCATTTATGACATAATGAGAGTCAACACAAACCTGTAAACTTTGAAGTTGTTTGAAAGTGAGGTCTTTGATGGCCATCGTGTGAACCTCTGTCGAGGGTTCGCCAGAATTTAATTTCGATTTCTTCTGTTTTTATGAAAAGTTTTGTTACGAATTAATTAATCGTTCAAACAATTGGATTCATTGATAGATTACATGTTTCATAATGATATTGACATTGAAGTCGTGGTAAACAATGGGTACTTTGTCTTTGGATAACTGGACGTCCAGTTCAACCATATCTGCGCCCTTTATATAAGAATTTTAATTGATTTAAATTTAAAAATTCATTGATTGTTTCATCGAATTTACATATAGAATAGAAATATTATTGATTATAGATATTATAAATTAACATTATTATTGATAATTTATATGAGAAAATGTCTTAATATAATAGTCATTATGCAATCAGCAATTTGTGGTAATAGTTAAGTAATAATCAACGCCTTTATTATAGTTTAATTGGTTATTAACTTCAATTTGTTGATAGAATTGTTGCATATTATATACAGCAGAGTTTGTGTGAAGTGTCGGCCGATTCACTCATTTTGGTTGATAACATCCGTATATGATTAACAGTAAAGCCTTATTTTTTATGGCCTTTGATAACAATACATACCTTTTCAGTTTACAACTTCGTTTGTTGATTACAAACATGATTTACTGTAATTATAATTATAAACGCATCGATTAATGATTTATTTTTTAATCAATTACTGAGTACTGAGCCGTATATCTTATGCAATCTTAAGAGCATATCTCTTGCCTTGAATTAATTGATTTCTAAAGTATTTTAATTTAATAATTATTTGTATAAAAAATTTTCCGAAATAATATTTTAAATAATAGTCATTATTAAACAAAAATATCGTAATAATTATCATAAGAATAAAAATAATTATAGATTAGAGCAAAATAATTGGCAATTAAAATAAATGATTACTTAATGACTTTGAGTACTGTTTCTTCCAATTATGTCAGAAATTATATTTTGATAAAAAACATTATATTTTTACAATAAATTAATAAAAATAAATTATACGTTAAATNATGACTTTGAGTACTGTTTCTTCCAATTATGTCAGAAATTATATTTTGATAAAAAACATTATATTTTTACAATAAATTAATAAAAATAAATTATACGTTAAATAATATTTCAAGGCTTTATTAATTGATAAATAAAAATTATAGTGATTTGCAATTATAGTGGAAATCAATGGAAATATAATAAAAACGGATGTCTAGACTCACGTGAAGACTCGCAAAATTGAAGGACGCGATCGTATTCTCCAGAATATTCTCGATTCGGTCGGTTCTGCGGGCAGTGCCGGCGCCGCGATGGCCGACATCGTAGCCCTTACGAGTCGTGAGCCAACTCTCGTCCGCCAGTTTGGCCAAGAAATCGTCGGTTCCCTTAATGGGACTCATAATCACATATTCCACTAAATTTCAACACATTTTGATACTTTCTTTTAGCAAAATATATCATTTGAAACTAATTTAAAGTCAAATACAATTCAATTTCGCCACAATTTTTCCGTTTTCCGTATTGAAAGGCATTGAAATGAATCCATTCGTGTCCTTCAGATGAGCGGCAAATATATTGCAAAAAGCGATTCGTTTTGTGTTTGCATCGGAATCGCTTCCAGAGGAATATAAATCTATTGTAAATACCTTTTAAGTACAAAACAATGATTAAAAACTAGATTTAGCACCAGATTTAAGCATTAATTGCTTACCATTTCATCAATATTTGTGAGTTTTGTGCGGAAAATGACATATTCTTTAGCCGAATAGAGCCGTCCATTAGGTTCTTGAGATCCAAATTTTGACTCATTTTCATTCAACACAGATATCTCGACGCTACTGGGTTTGTGGTCACCATTGATACCGTCATCAGTGGTGGCATCTCTTTGGTTGAGTTCGTCCACCGAAACCTTAATGCGGGTGTCATTCAGACTATTGGATGTGACATGGATTGAGTCAATGAGCATCAGATGAATAACCGCTTCATTTCGTTTATTGATTAACAACTCGGGATCAACTGTCAGTCCATCGATAATAAAGACTTAGTCATTAGATATCAAGCAATCAAATATGAGATCTCATACCACCGTTGATGACATTCACGACAGTCGTGTCGCTAATTATTGTCTCCATTTTAGGACCAGTTTAATGACAATAACAGAAGTCTTAAGACAATTGTGGTGACAGAAAACGCTGCAAATGTCTGTAATTATCAATAAATTATTGACAACTAAGCGATCGATCGGTCCATCAGTTTATGGCATAAATTATAGTAAAAATCATATCAAATACTGATTAAGAGTTTTTTGCCAAAACTTTTCCCAAAAAGTGATGATTAGATGAGAAGAGAGGAAAGAAAAGTAAATATCAATTGATTTACTGTTTTTGACGTAAAATCCTATAATAAACACACATTTCGTCACTCAATGGCATTGAAAATCGCTTCACAAATACATTTCGTATACAAATCGCGCGGTATTTGACTATCACTTGCTTTTTGTGGTACAGAATATTCTGTTGTTTTTGGCACTAATTGGCGACAAATGTAGAGATATTTTGTTGTTTTTCTTATTAAACAAATTATTTATTGAGATTTATGTGTTATTTTCGCACATATACTCTATATATAACGAGTTGTTCAAGTATTTCCGTTGTTCAACACTTTTTGATTGTTTTTATTGTGAAATTGTTTTCGAAATACAATTCTTGAAAAGTTTGGCAAAACAGAGAATTTGTGCCAAAAATCAATATTTATTTTTATATAAAAAGACAAACTTTTATTTTGTGGAAAAATACAATTTACAATATTATCTCAATATGAGTGGAAATGTCCTGAAATACCAGATTTAGAAATTTATTCATTTGGATCATATGAATCTTGACTCCAATATTCACCACATTTTCTCCAATAAAACATCAAAAACTAAAAGTTAAAGGAAATGAAATTATATATACATTTAACAAACAATTTATAAAATAATTTATTATTTGACCCAAAAATTATTCTTTAAACAAATTCACTCACTATTTGTCAAATAATATTTACTTTTTAATGAATTCTAGTTTCTGTGACATTAATAATGTTAAGTTAGAATAAGTCAA